CTTTTTTTTTTTTTTTTTTCATTTTATGTTTGCTACCTGGAAACATTCAAAAGACAGGCAAGGAGAGGGTGGGGGTATCCACTTCCTAACTCTGTTTGGAAGTAACTGACTTCCTCCACCATTCACACTCCCACCCACCTTTTCGTTCTAGACGCTCCCCCCCCTCCCCCGCCCCGATAACGCTATGTTTCTAGAATTGAAAGGCTGAAAGCAACGTCCAAAGGGCTGTCCACATTGAAGAACCGTTGTTGTAACACAAATCACGGCATGTGTAACATCGTGGTGACGCGTTTTTCAAATGTGACACCCCACTCTAATAACCAAAAAGACGCCCTTACCTTGCCGCTGTACTGCACCTGGTACCACGTGTAGCCGTCGGCCGTCAGGATGCCGCCGTTAATCTTGCCGCAGGACCCGCTTGAAAGGGTCTCAACCACGTGACTGCTCAAACCACCTGGGATTGGATGACGTGTGATAAGTTTATTTCAAGTCCCCGATGCCGCGCTAGTGTTAGATATGGTAGTGTGAGTTTTAAAGAATGAATCGTTTTCACGGGCATAGACGATATTCGTTTATACAAATGAGCTCACCTTGAGACGCCAATTCTAACTTGGCAAAAAAAAATAAGGTGACATGGAAATAAGGTGAGAGAAAAAAGATGTCATCGAAATTAGGTGACATGGAAATAAGGTGACATGAAAAAGGGTGATAGAAATAAGGTGACATGAAATAAAATGACATGGAAATAAGGTGACATGAAAAAAATGTGACAGAAATAAGGTGACATGGAAATAAGGTGGCACAGAAAAAAGGTGGCAGAAATAAGTGACATGGAAATAAGGTGACATAGAAAAAAGGTGACATAGAAATAAGGTGACAGAAATAAGGTGAAATGGAAAAAAGTTTTAGGGTCCCGCAATTAATCTCCCCGTTGTACAGTCTCCAAAGTCAGACTTTTGGCAGTTAGTCTTGACATTGTAAGACTTACCTAGCGTTGGCGCCGTCCGTGTTTGTCACTTACCAGCATCCCTAGCGTTGACACCGTCCGTGTTTGTAACTTACCAGCATCCCTAGCGTTGACACCGTCCGTGTTTTAACTTACCAGCATCCCTACCGTTGACGCCGTCCGTGTTTGTGACTTACCGGCATCCCTGGCGTTGACGCCGTCCGTGTTTGTACACACACATTCGCCCCCGTGTATATTTTCCTTCACCAGAGCGCCGCTAGCGACGGCCACAAGGGCGACAACAGCGAAATAAAACATGCTGATCAAAAATTAAAAACTGTCAAGTATCGTATTGGATGCTCTCCGAACAGCCGGTCACAACACAACACTAACAAATGCGTCTCGCTCTATATATATACAGGGAATCAGCAGACGTAAACACGTTCTATTGGCCCCCTTTTTTTTTTAAGGGAGTCGGATATGATTTAAATGAGTCGTAATCGTATTCGAAGCAAATTATTATATTATTTGAGTTGAAATCGAAGTCCTTACAATTAATTAGAGTATCGCCAAACCATAATGTGAACATCTACTGACCAATGAAATATTTGAAGGTTAAACATAAATTGTGTGTTCATAACATTGTAATATCGCTAGATGGTAAAAGCAATATTGTACTGATTTACTTCTAAATGCACAAATATATAGGGTCTTAGTTTACTCTCGTGGTTTGAGCTCAGAATTCGCAAAGTTCGACATTTTACCCCGAGACACGAGTGATGTGCTAAAGTGCAGGAACTCGCGGCCGATAAAAATGTCAAACTCCACCGATAAGACGCAATGATAAGGCCGTGCCTTAGTTGTTTAAAAAAAATTGTTCTTTTAAAATGAACAACTGTAATGAAAGCCTAGTAGGTTTGGGGTCAGTTTTTGCTCTATTTATAATTATATATATTTAAAACTAATTATCATAATAAAAGTGACACAAATTGACAGTGATTGAAAGATTTTTGTTTTCAAGGTATCTCACCCAAGGACAGATCGACATAAAACGTATATAATGTGGACATTGTTTCCCATTAAGAGCATGTCCAAAAACATACATAGTTACATAAGGTTGCTTTTTTTTTCCATTAAGAGCATGTCCAAAAACATACATAGTTACATAAGGTTGCTATTGTTTCCCATTAAATACATGATTAAACACAATGTTATAATTCCGTTAAAAAAATAAAAAAATAAATGAGCAATGACACGCCTCTTCCAGGGCGGAGCTGAGATTGGTCGTGCGTCCACTGTCAAAGAGTTCACTGTCGAATAGTTCACTGTCGAAGAGTTCACTGTCGAAGAGTTCACTGTCGAAGAGTTCACTGTCGAAGAGTTCACTGTCGAAAAGTTCACCGTTGAAGAGTTCACCGTCGAAGAGTTCACTGTCAAAGAGTTCACTGTCGAAGAGTTCACCGTCGAAGAGTTCACTGTCAAAGAGTTCACCGTCGAAGAGAATTTGAGAAGGATGTGACAACAAGGTGAGTGATTGGTTTATGACATCTGAGAATGATGTGACAACAATGTGAGTGATTGGTTTGTGACATTTGAGAATGATGTGACAGCTATGGGAGTGATTGGTTTGTGACATTTGAGAATGATGTGACAGCAATGGGAGTGATTGAGTTGTGACATTTGAGAAGGATGTGACAACAACGTGAGTGATTGTTTTGTGACATTTGAGAATGATGTGATAGCAACGGGAGCGATTGGTTTGTGACATTTGAGAATGATGTGATAACAACGAGAGTGATTGGTTTATGACATTTGAGAATGATGTGACAGGAACGGGAGTGATTGGTTTGTGACATTTGAGAATGATGTGACAGCAACGTGATTGATTGGTTTGTGACATTTGAGAATGATGGGACAGCAACGGAAGTGATTGGTTTTTGACATTTGGGAATGATGTGACAACAAAGTGAGTGATCGGTTTGTGACATTTGAGAATGGCGTGACAGCAATGGAGGTGAGTTGCCTGTGTTAGCATGTGAGGTTGAGGCGCTCTCAAAACAAAACTGTACCATTTGCTCAGTTCGTGCAGCACAGTGGTATTTTGTTGAAATGGGAATCCTACCTATTGAAGTATATCAGTTGATACCGTAGGCAGATGGTAGTAATGGTTTTGGTGGTGGTGGTGGCGATGGTGGTGGTTGCTCTTGATTTTTTTTTCCATTGAATGTTTGTGTTGATGATCTCTGTCTATGATAGTCATAGTTTAGGAAAGTATTTCTGAATAGGATTAAATCGATCGGATCTCTTGGTCTTGTCCAAAATAACTTTCTTTTTTTTTTTTAAATAATTGAAAAAAATACCAGTGTCACATCCAAATTTATTAGTCTTATATTCACGAGCAAATTAATATTGTTTCTCTCTCTCTCTCTCTATCTATCGCTCTCTTACCCTCCCTCTCTCTCTCTCTTTCTCTCTATCTCTCTCTTACCCTCCCTCTCTCTCTCTCTCTCTCTCTCTCTCTCTCTCTCTCTCCCTCCCTCCCTCTCTCTCTCTCTCTCTCTCTTTCTCTCTATCTCTCTCTTACCCTCCC